TTCTCACCGCTGTCTTTCAGCCACACCACTGATCTTAGGGTACGTAAGAAGTAACACCCACCAAGGGAAAACAAATCTCGAAGGTCCCGTGTGCAAGCTGCGAACGTTAAAGATCCCACGGTGATCCAACATCCTTAAAAGTAGGGTTCAGCCGCCATTTGGGCAAAATTCAAAATTTCCTACCAAAAACTTGAAATGTTTCATGTGTCCCGCGCGCTCATAATATGACCTTATGCAGTTGTGAGCTGCTTCTTCTTTCCTATCAAACATCTATCATCCTTATCTCCCCTTCTTCTTTTTTATGTTTGTTACTCTCTTGTAACACCTCTAATCTTTTGGCGCTCATATGACCTTATGCAGTTGCGAACGCCGTAAAACCTCTACTAAAACTTTTAAAGACGAAAAAGCAGTTGCGAGCGTCGTAAAACACCTACCAAAACAAGCAGAAATCGATCGAGCTTTAGATCCTTAAAAGATTGGCTACATCACCCGAGTGGCCCTTTAATACTAGTTTAAACTTTTGGCGTTGTTCAAATCTACGTTCGTGCGGTGGTGTTTGTCTTTACGGCGTCACCAAAAACAAAAAACAAAAACAAAATCGAAAAAAAGAAAGAAAACAAAAACAAAAAAGAAGGGATTGAAAGATAAACAATTCCAGTTTGTGATGAGTCTGAAGCGAGGCAGTAGTCACTTTCTGCGTTTCAATTATTCGCATTCCTCGGAGTTACAAAACGGACAAGTTTTATACTTTTAGTTTGTTTGTTTGTCTGTTTGTTTGTTTGTTAGTTTGGATGAAGAGGAGCACATTGACACAACAACGGTCAATAAGTAGCAAGGAGAGAGTGAGTAAGATAGACAGACAGGAACAGAGGTAAAGAAAAGAAGTTGGATCTGGAGCAACAGAAGTAAAGAAAAGAAGTTGGATCTACCAGTGGCACCCTCTAACCACCCACTTTGCGTCGTCTTTAGATGTGTCATAACGCGATGTGAATGATATTCACCAAGACTTTTGCTCTAACGGTAAGTAGGAACTCACATTCTCTGTGGTTGGTTGGCGGGTGCTCTAGTGTGGTTTGCTTCTTCTTTCCTATGGAAGATCTATCGTCTTTATCTTCACTTCTTTTTTATGTTTGTTACTCTCTTGTAACTCCTCTAATCTTCTGGCGCTCATATGACCTTATGCAGTTGCGAGCGCCGTAAAACCTCTACTAAAACTAAACTAAACATCACATTCTCTAAACTATGATCTCCTGTCACAGGGGCAGTGCTACTGACTGAAGTGTCTTTAGGCCATTCCCAAACTAGGAATATTAACAATAAATAATATTATGTGCTTATGCACAGTAGAATTGTAAATGGACTGCGATGTCATGCTCGTACTGTGCCGGACAACATAGCGGGAACTACTGCTTTTTCTTTCCTTATCCCAACTATCGTCATTTTCCCTCTACTTCTTTTGTATATTTGTCACTCTATTGTGAACTGCTATTTCCGGGTGCCTTGATAGTCGAAGCCGACTTTGTGCTGCTAAGGCTAGAGAGGTGAGCAGAGTAGGGGTGATTCCCCGTTTGGACTTCTCTGTTGACATCCGCCCCTTGGTGCTCATGTTATGACCACATGCAGTTGCGAGCGCCATATAACCTTCATCATCATCATCCAGTGCCAGATCTGCGACAGACATCGGCGATCATGGTTTTCCATTCATTCCTTTGCTCGGATGCTCTTAAAAAAAAGCTACGTTTCCCTGATCTTTCCCTGTTACCTATTTGTTTAGGTTCCCTAAGTATGTTGTTCTGGGCCTACCCCTGCCTCGCTTGCCCTCAATTTTGCCAGTGAGAGCTAGATGTTCAAGACCCTTATG